TAAAGAAGGTCGAAAATTCTCCCGCAAATATGCCAAATTTTGAGAGGTTACGGAAGATACTTGTGCGGAAGATGATAATTACTGCCCGGCCGATTGCAAATGTCATGAAACAGTAGTACGCTGTTCGAACAAGAATCTTAAGAAATTTCCAGTTGGCATACCCGCTAAAACTACTGAGTTATTACTAGACTCAAACGATATTGTCTACATTCCTCCTGAACTGAATAAATTGAAGCATCTTGTGAAATTGTAAGTTACTGATATTTGTAATAATGCAAACCAGTATATAATGCTTCAATTACTTTTGTTATTTATTAGACTACGATGGGGTATCAGGGTCAATACACTGAGCAGTAGCTCACTTGTTTATCATAACTAGTATTTTAGTGATTCACTTATGTATATTGCCATAGAAATGTCAATGAAACACATACTTTTTTCTTTTATCCTTAAATCATAGTTTGCAGAGATCTAAGCCATAATCGGATTGTTTCAATTGAAAACGAAGCATTTGCAAATTTGACCAAACTGTCAACTTTGATACTTAGTTATAACAAACTTGAATGTCTGGGAGAAGAGGCATTCACACATTTAACAAGTTTACGTATTCTCTCATTGCACGGAAATGATATTTCAGTTTTGCCAGAGTCAGCTTTTGCTAATCTGCATAACATTACACATATGTAAGAAATTCCAGTTTTTTATTAAATCATACTCTATATCACATTCTACAGAAATATATTAAAATTCTATTCTATTTAAATAACTGAAAATCCTAGAGCTCTTGGAAGTAATTCTTTGTATTGCGATTGTCGTATTGCGTGGTTCAGTCGATGGATAAAAAGGCGTTTTATTGAAGCTGGGATTGCTCGTTGTGAACTTCCCTTGAACCTTCGAAATCAGTTACTCTTATCAGCCAATGAATTACAGTTCAAGTAACTGTATTTATATTTGTATTTCATGCAATTGGAAGAAATTCTGATCTATGCTAGAGCTTTGTCGTCCAACTTTTATAGATGCACCGAAAAGGTTCCAAGAAATGTGTTGATTAAATGTGATGCCTGTATTGATAGTCCATGCAAAAATGGCGGCACATGTCAAAGGATGAAAGGAAGGACATTTGCTTGTAAATGCGCAGCCAGATATCACGGAAAATACTGCCAAAATAAAATTGATGCATGTTATGGTGAGCCGTGTTTAAACAATGCCACCTGCAAGGTAACAATGCCTATTGATTTGTGCAGTTTTTTGTTAGTTTCCGCATGCTTGAGCGGAACTGATAGCATATTCATTGAAAAACCTTAATAGCACCGCTGGAATTTTGGAAATAATTTGAATTTTTACTTTTATTTTCTTCATTTTTTTAATCTCACTGTAGAGAAAAAGGAAAAGAGAATTCTCCTTGTTGGGCTTTTAAATGAAGATTCATGCTGTATTTTTACAATTTAAAGATACTTCAAGATGGACGTTTTAAATGTCACTGTGTAAAAGGTTTCGAAGGTGACCATTGCGAGACTAATATCGATGATTGCACATTTAATAAATGTCAGAATGGAGCAACTTGTATTGATTTAGTAAGTTTATTTTTGTATTGAAAGTGGTTCAAGTAGTGGAAACATATTATTTGAATAACTGCGAATGAATCCATAAAAGTCCATAAAAATCAGGCCTTACTGATACTTTGCAAAGGAAATATATTTCTAAAAAATTATTTGCTTTATTACATGCAATTTAGATAAATTCTTATGAATGTAAATGCCCAGTAACGCATATAGGACGTTTTTGTGAGGTGAAAATGGAATTTTGTTCGAATAAAATGAATCCATGCGAAAACAAAGGAGTATGTGTACGACAAGCTCTTTCTTACAGGTATTCTCATTGTAATCTGGAATTATTATCATTCTACTGTGTTGCAATTCAGCACTACAAAAAAAGAACATCATATAATAAGATCTTCAAATTCATATCTCTTGGGGACTAGCTTCTTGCTTTTTCAACGACCTACTCAACAAGTGAATAAACAGAATGGTATGAGGTGCGGAGAGTCATGAAATGACGTCACATTCTTGCACGATACATGAAGTCATCACTGGTAGTCACTGGAAAAAATGCTGAAAGTTGTAATTGATAATCTTTTTAGCCCACATAGTTAAAAATTGAAGAGCTTTTTCTAGATGTAATTGCCTACCTGGTTTCACTGGCACCAACTGTACGATAAACATCGATGACTGTGAGCATAATTTGTGCAAAAATGGTGCAATTTGCGTTGTTAGTTTTTTAATTTCTTGATCACATATTTTTTATTTAAATGGTATCCACATATATAATATCCCAGAAAGTCATGGCACAAGTACCAAAAAAACTGAACATGTACATACTGTTCATGCGGATTTAAGGATAGCAAAGATTTTGTATCCGTAAAATCTTTCAGGATGGTATACAGTCGTACAAATGTGAGTGTATTAGCGGATATACAGGAAGGTTTTGCGAATTATCACCAATGTCAAGTAATTATTATCCGAATACATCCCCATGTCATGCGCATTCATGTGAACATGTGAGTTTCTTCTCTCCATCTGATTAAACTTCTCTATCTTTTGAATTTGCGGTTGTAAGAATGGATGATAAGTGTAAATCATTTCAGGGTGTATGCCATGAATTAGGAAGCGATGTGTTTTGTAAATGCTCTGAAGGATATACTGGTAAGCGGTGTGAACAACTGAGAGCTGCAGGATATGTCCACGATGATTCATTCATCGCCTTGGAACCCTTTAGTGCTTCACCGGATGGGAATCTAACCTTCACTTTGATTACTACTGCTAGGTTATTGTTTTGGTAATTTTGAGCTAGCCAATCTCTATATTTTACAATATCGATTTAAAATGATTGTTTCAGCATTGGAGTCGTCATGTATTATGGCGATAATGCACACTTATCGATCGAATTATACAATGGTCGTTTGAAAATTTCATTCTGTGTGGGCAATTTCCCCGCATCTCACATGTACAGCTATGTTACTGGTACTTTTAAGGACTTTTTTTTTTTAACCGGAAAGGATTTATACTTTCTAACGATGATAATCAAACATTCTTAATATCAAAATAGTTGCGCTAGAAGGGAATGCAATCAAATTATTGAAGATAATATCTGAAACTTAATTAAAATATTGAAATATAATTTCACTATTATTACACACGCTCAGTACATGATGGACGTCCACATCGGATAGAAATTTACATCAAAGGAATAACACTAACATTGAAAATCGATAATCACGAGCCACAAACTATTGTCAACAGTGGTCCAGAAGAAGCATTCATATTAATAAGCAAGAACTTCTTATATGTTGGTGGTATCCCAACTTCTGTTGCCATTAAAGCAATCACTGCTTTTCATTTGAAGCAACCTCATAGTTTTAAAGGTAAATTTCAAGGATGAACAGAATGTTAAATGTTAAATTATGCGGGCTCCATTTTTTAACGTCTTCTCGTTTGCTACATGTCTTGTTACCTTCAGGCTAAGCAATAAAGGACTTTCCGTTGTTTATAAATATAAAAAATGGAATGAGATATAATTTCTGTGTTTTATTCTTTCTAATGGATCACTATTGTTAAAAAATGTTGACCCTAATTGTTTCAAACTCTGTAGTTTCAAAATTAGAAATGCTTTGATTTTATTTTTTTTTTATTTTTTTGCACAATAAGTCATGCAAAGCTTATTTATTTAACAAAATGATTTAAGACAATGCTAGTAAATAACATGTCATTTTTGAATATATGAAGGTTTCATCTACTGAACGAATTAAATGAATATAAAACAGAATTGTAGGATGCATTTCCGACTTTTATGTTAATGGTGTAGTAGTTGATTTCGATAAAGCGGAACAAAAGGAAAGGGTTTTAAATGGATGTTTCAAAAGTGTCGATCTCTGTAGTGGTGTTCAGTGCTACAGTGGTACATGCACTACGAATTCCTCATTATCCAATGGTTACATCTGTCATTGCCCTCCTGGTTATAGTGGTACGCATTGTCAGCGACGTACGTCATTTGAGTTATATCGTGAAATTTTATTGTATATATTTAGATTAAAATAATTTCCTACATACAAAATTCACAAATTTCAGGTGAAATTTTCTGTGCCAAAGAGAAATTTCATTATCATCACGTGGAAGGTAACTGCCGTTCGACAGAACAAATTAAAAACAGTCGATGTTATGGGTGGTGTGGCAGTGACAGTAAACAGTGTTGTACAGTTGTGAAAAGTAAGAGGCGCAGATTGAAAATGCATTGTAGAGATGGTAGTACTACTTCGCAGATTGTTCGCATTGTACGAAAATGTCAGTGTACTGCGGAAGCAGCATGTCGTGCAACATAGTTCCCTGAAAATTTGTTTAGTTGTTGCTTTGATAAAGATTTCCCGGTCTTTAATTGTTCACTATACCGTTTAATTCAAAGCAAGTCCTAATTCAGATTGTCCTTTTGATGATTGCTCACAGAATATGTGTTTCATTCTTCTTTCTCAGTCTTCCAGAAAGGACAAACTATTAAACAAATTTTATTACTGTTCCTTTTCATTTGCTATAAAATGCAATGTAATGTTTGGATCATTTTGGTGATTTCCATTTTCTTTTGTCAGTTACTGCGGATGACTCGATTGAGTTTCAAATTTATCAAAACAGAAGCCTATTTCATATTGCTTGCAACAACAAGATACAGTTTGGAACAATTCTCTTAAACATTTTGTAAATGAATTAAATGGGTGAGAGATTTGTCACAAAGTTTACGATAGAATTATTATAAGAAGTATTATTATAATTATTATTTTTGAGAATAAATGTCCCATTGTTCCGATAATTCCTTTCTTTTTACGAACATATGCAACAGGTATATGACATGCTTACCGAACAACGAAACCACAACCACATTGATTCAAATAATGGTGAAGGTCGGTCGTATACCCTAACAGTATAGTACAGTAATTAGAATATTTCACCTAAAACATGAATGGAAACGACATACTTTTATTCATTCTGCCTCTAACATTTCGGAAAGATTCATCTGCCAAACACGTGAGTTACTGTCAAGTTCAGCAATTCACTTTCAATAACTCTCTTTAAATGAATTTCAAATATTAAGTTAGAAAATATGTGTGCAACTTTAATGATTTCCGATCAAAACCTAACAGGAAAATTGTTGAAAATATAGAAGTTAGAATTGACTTGTTGTGCGTACTTCCAAAAAAGATTTGCAAAAGTAATTTGGGAGGTACAATCTTGCTGTCTTTCGAAAATGTATTTCATGCAATTGTATTATTTGTCCTGATTCATTCAATACTTTTTTTTTTTTTAGATCCAGCATCATTTTCATAGAATCTGCTGATATTGAGTTGATAGTTCCATGTAGCTGTTCAACTTGATTTTACAAATTAAAATCTTAGGTTTCTAACATTACTCACAAAATTTTGTTCTGTGAAAAATTAGAGCTTCGCAACACATTGAGAAAGAGTGGACATCTTTAAGGAATAATAACTTCTGGTAACAGTTTCTAGATTCAATTTATTTAACTTTAATAAATTTACAGATTTAAATCAAGAGAATATTCTTTCTGCATTATGGTAGCTCAAATGAAAGTAAATTCATGACAGCTGATGACACTGATTCTAGAAACTTACTTAATTCACTTTGCAAGCGTTTTAGCTTAAGAAAATTTAATCTTTTCCTAATATGTGATGTGTTAATTAAAATGATCCGCACATTTGGATTACATTTCAATTTTGTCAAACCAAACGACAGCGCTATTCATATAGAACCCTTGAAGAATGAAATGAGTTGACGCAAGATGAATTATAAAGTTGTTCATATTGTCTATAAGGATTTGGAATCTGAAAATTTACATGTAGGATTTCAAATTGATGGCAGTAATTCCTGGAATTTGAGACGTTTTTTTCTTATGCTTCTTCATAACTTTATTTGGGACGATTAAAAAGGTAAAATTTGTAACTAATCCTGCTCTTCAAGAATACTGCAAATTAATGCTCTAATGACAAAGTTCTTCAGGATATTGGCATGTTGTTTATTAGAGATGCCTAGCAATGAAAACTGAAAAAAAAAAAAAAAAAAACTAGATAGATAGATGTGTAATGAAGGATGCAAAATGCTTCATGCATATTTGATCATATGGATTACCGATAGCTTAAGCACATCTTATATCATTTCCCTCAGCAATTTAATTTTATTCCCAACACCGTGCTTATTTGGGTAATAAGAAATTTTAGATTTTACTCATTTTTCTAGAGTTTTGTCAGATTTTCTCAAAGTGGAAATTTTATTTCTTATTAAATGAATAATAAAATGTCAAGTTATAAGCAATTACTGTTAATAATGGAGCACTTTATCCACTTCTTTTTATCTATTTATATATACTGAAAAACATGATCTCTCAAAGTTAATGACCATAACGAACTTTTTACTCATCCAATTTTAGATGTCTTGGATAACGAGCATAAAAAATTTCGATCACTTCAAAGATAACGCGGACTACATAAAGGCAATTTACAGCACTTCTTTGGCATATCTTCGGGTTACTTCTTTTTTTATTAGTTTCTTCCTTCCTTGAAAATATTACATTGTCATTCAAATATTTAAGTCTTTTTTATACATATCAATTGAAAGCTTATAAAAATTTGCAGGATTTTTCTCCTGAAATGTTTTTAAGTGAAAGTGAATATTACGACAATTTCGGTTATGGCAAATGTTATGGTTTAACAAATTCATCTGTACAAGTGTGCTAGTATAATTCTTTTCTTTTCCTGATTTATTGTTTATTGAAACTGCGGAGATAAAAAAAAAAAATGATTTTGCTTTAGTGTGAACTCGCTACCGCAGATTTTAACCTGAAGTCAGCACCTTACAAAAAACGATTGGTATGGCATTTTAAAGAGTTTTGTTCTAAAACAAGTGCACATGGAATACCAATGATTAGTCGTGCACAAAACAAGTACTACAGGTTCTTTGTCTATTTTTTACAAATTTTTTAGAATACTTTTTCATGCATTCTGATGGTTTGCGTGTGGTTCTGAAAACTGGGTAAATTTAGAACAATATGGGTATTACTTTTTCTCGGATGCTTGACGATGTTGTATCATAATGCTGAAAGTGTTCTCGACAAATACCATCGAAATGAAAAAATTGTCGATATTCAGCTGAAGTTTGGCAAGTATTTTTGAATGAAGACTTTCCCAAATCTTCAAATGAAAATGTGTTAATATAAATTTAGATACGGCGCCATTTCCTGCTATTACTTTGTGCAATTTGAATCCTTATAAAGCTAGTCTTGCAACGGACATAGATGTCATTCGCAGAATGGTATTTTTCAAAATATAATTTATACAAAAGAACTTTTTTGAATATTATGTAAGAGGAGAAAGGACAAAATTTCACTTGTATAATAAATATTACTAACAACAGATATGTAATTAGAACTGGGGAAATTTTTCAAAAATTTGGTATGGGAAATAAATATGAAAATTTTCCCATTGATTTTATGAAATTCTCGTCAGCTAACGGCATTTGACGGTGCACTGAATAAAGCAAGTCAGACTATTTCGTCCAATATTAACCAGAGAAAGCAAAGAAATGCTGGTACTGTGGCAAAGGCTCAAAAAGCTTCAACGTTTGAACCGGTAAGGATGAAATTCCTGATTTAAATTCCAAAAATAAATTTTCTTATAATGGGTAAACCAGGTGACTTATTTTACATGTATAGAACATTTTTTCTGCAAATAGATTACTAATGCATATTTGATCAATTGTTCATTTTTAGACTGTTTTTCTTTAATCATATTATAGGGGTACTCAAAATGTATATGCGACGATTCGATTGACACTAAAAGTGAGTGTGAGGGTGAGAAGCATAAATATGAAAAGCCAAAAAACAATCGTGAGAAATGCATATGCGCGTTTGATAGAAGTACGAAAGATGCTTGGCCCTGTCATCTCGATATTTACTGGTCAAAGAATATATGTCAAAGATGTGATTCTCGAGCATTCTGCGAGCGTGGTTTTTTTAAGCTTACCTTAGCATAAAATATCGAGTTACATTTCTTTGTGTTTCTTTATGATTTTATCTTTCAATTGACTAGTATTCACAGTGAGCATGAAGGGACAACAAAATAGCAGCATTCCATGTATATGCGCACCGTCTGGTGTTTTCTGTGTTGCCTATGATGGTGATTCTGATATAATCAATATCTGGGAATATCTGAAAGATGGTGAATTCGCTGAAGACTCGACATTTGTTGAAGCAATGGGTTTTGATGGGATGACTGATGAGGTGAAATTTATTCAGATAATTTTTGTCAAAAGGAATTTAAACAAAGTGAAATGTGAATAATTGGGAAAATTTACACTTCCAATCGAATTATCGAACTCTTAAGGTAGCAATTGTAACAAAAGCCAAAGAAAACATCATATTTGCAATGGCAGCCTTACCAATGAAAGATCGGCAAAGAATTTCAACAACGAAACGTGAACTAGTCCATAAATGTTCATTTAACGGAATCGCTTGTAACATCGACCAGTAATACTTGACCTTAACATTTTTTTGCATAGTAATCGAATAGAAAATATGATAATTTGTTTTTTTTTGACTTTAACGTTACTACCAAGAGACTAGAAGTTAGCCAAAATTTTATTTTTTATTCCATGGCTAATTATATAAAATTTTTGTTATTCATAGTTTTAAAACGATGAACAAGCAATAGTCATATCGATATTCACTTTTTTACTTAAACTTATTTTAGCGATTTCTTAACTCACGTTGATCCGAACTTTGGGTCATGTTTTACTTTCAACCATAACCGAAGCATGAATTTAACTAGTCTTCGAGCAGGTATGTACCGCGAAAGTAATCCGTCATAATTCTTCTTATAGTTGATGGAGTTTTATGACTTCTGAACCTTGAAATAGCTGTTAGATTTATGTTTAAAAAATTTGCATAGGCCCGATGTATGGTCTTCGGATATTGCTGTATGTAAATGAATCGGAATATATGCCGACAACAGAAGCTACCGGAATTCGACTTACAATTCATGACAAGGAAGACTATCCGTTTCCTGATACGTTTGGGTATTCTGCCCCGACTGGATACATTTCTTCTTTTGGACTTAGATTGGTAATATATATATATATATATATTTATTTATTTATTTATTTATTTATTTAAAATTATTGTGAGGATGAATTTATTATGATAGAAGCTTAGAAATGATTTGTAGAAGCGAATGACAAGGCTTCCGGCACCTTATGGCGATTGCATTCCTGATGGAAAAACTTCAGACTATATCTATGAGAATTATGACTACTCTGTTGAGGTATATTATTCTTAAATTATTTTTAAGTAAGATATTTTTTAATCTTACTCAAACTGGACTAATTTTTAGGGTTGTTATCGTTCATGTTTTCAACAGCTTGTTCTAAAGGACTGTCAGTGTGGCGATCCAAGATTTCCATTACCGTCTGGACATAAACATTGCAAAGCAACGGATCCTTCAGCCCGTTCGCTTTGATGCATTCAGTGTCATTTGAAAAGATTTTCACGATTTGAACTCAAATTTAGTTTAAATCTCTATTACTTATGACTTTATTTACGACTTTCGAATTGGAACCCAAGAAAAGTTTCAGGACGTTGTTTGGACAAGCGCACAAATGAATTAGGAGAACTGAATGGAAGTTTTCACTGTCGCTGTCAACAACCTTGTAAGCAGTCCATTTATTCAGTAACTTATTCACCAGCTAAATGGCCATCACATTCATTGAATGTACAATTGGGCATCTGTAACGGTACAGCAGCTGAATGTAACAGACATTATAAGTAGGGTTTATTTCCATAATTCTGTAAATAGTATTAAATTTTCAACAAATATATATTGAGATTTTACTTATAACAGAAAAGTAACATATTTATTGCACATTAAATTTTTTAGGGAAAATGGTGCCATGATTGAAGTGTTCTACGAACAGCTCAATTATGAAATGCTCACTGAATCTGAAGCCTATGGTGTAGGTTTTTTTTTAAAAAAAAAAAAAAAAAACTTGAGCTATAAATTGAGAAAACTGAAGTGTGAAATGTATTTTATCGATATAAAGTAATGGAAATGTTACGAAGTGAAGAAAATGCTACATTTTTTAAAAGAAGCACTATCCTTAGGATTTACAAAAAATGGATGAGAAGTTTTAATAACTGTCTTGTACACTGAAAAGTTAGCTATGAACAAAAACCAGTAGTGCATTCATTCCTTGCTGTGGCAATTCAGTACCTATTATTATTTGTCAGTTCGTAAATTTATTGGCCGATTTTGGAGGACAGCTTGGCCTTTGGTGCGGTATTAGTTTTCTTACGTGTTGCGAATTTATTTTTCTACTTTGCGAAACAGCTTATATGTCTGCGCAGTACAATTATATCTTGTGGAAGAAGAAAAAGGAAAAAGCGAGAGAATTGGACAAGCACAATAATTTACTGTGATTTCTTGTTACAGTTTTGTTCATTTCATCACAGCAATAAACATTTTGTTGGATCTAAATATTTCACTCATTTGTACAAAATAATTCAAAAGCTTCGTCAAATATTTTAGTTTAATTAACTCTTTACAATTTCTTATCTTTCAAGTTTTCAGTTTCAATTTCTTGCATTAAATATTTATAGCATAAGAAAATATCTATGTTACAAACTAAAGTCTTCTAGGCCTACAATGAATTTGTGGGAAACAAGGAACATGTAAAATTATGCAAAATAAGTTGCCCCGGTGATATCCTATTTTATTTATTTTATTCATTTTAGCTTAATCCGTAGTTGCTAGCGAAAAATACTATTAAATTGCTTAAATCGTTCCTTCAATAAGTTCTCCGCAACAGTGTTTTGCGATACAAAAGTTGAACAGTTTTGAAAAGATTAATCTATCAACTTTCTCCAACTGAAATACCGCTTTTGATGTACTAGTTACATTTAAGATATTAAAGATATTCCAACGAAACACCGAGAATTGTATATCTAAAACAATGGGATAAAGCGCTGCCAGAAACTGCTTGTTTTACAGAATGCTGTTGCGGCGATTCAACAGTTCCACCAACAATGAAATTATTGCATTTAATCTGTATGTAGCACGCACTTTGATCTTCGAACTTCCTCAGTATAGCCCACTGAAAACAATAATGGATGCATTCCAGATATTTGAAAATCATAGAGTAACCTCGCACTTTGGTATCTGCAAGCCATTCAACTTATTTATAATTACATTCGATCCGTTCCTGTGTTATTGTTATCAAAGTGTAATAATTAAAGAAATCAAAAAGATAAAGTTTATTATTGATTATTCATTCAGTCGGTATTTGAGAACTACTGAATGCTGAAAACAGCTTCCATTCTACGCTGATCAATTCTACTCTGATCAAGGGAGAAGACTAAAGCGCTAGTTCTATACTGAAGTTTCTTTAAAGTAAGTAACAAGAGTAGGCAAAATCCAATGGAAACAATTTATTGAACCTTAAAAATATATATCATTTTCATTGTCTTGTTGAAGATAACAAATAGCTGTCTGAATAAGACAGTAAAGATGACAAACAACTCTTTGCAATCGTTAGAACTGTTGTGTAACATAAAAATTATTAATAACCGGCATATCTTTAAAAAAAGAAAAAAAGTGTCGAAAAAGAAATCCTCAGCGAACCATTGAGTTTCCAATTAAATTTTTAAATTCAATGTCTTGCATTATGAAATGAATTTCAATATTACTTTGATTTTATGCAGTGCCAAGCTGATGATTGCTGTTTTGATTTCGCTTCAAATGACGTTACAAGTTAGTGGATGGCGTTCGATTGTGAAGTGTTATTTGTACAACAATTGATCCTGAAGGATTTATGGATGAAAACCAGCATTAGAACAGGAGGAAATGGTTTGAAAATACTCGCTTTGTCAGAAAATGAACAATATGGTGAAAATTTTAGTGTAAGTTTTTCGTCCACTGAACGAAAATTCATCCGTGAAGTTTAAGGAAACGAATTAGAAAAAGTAGCGTAATTGGTGCTACTTGACTATGAAAGCTCATTCGATCACATTAATTTAGTAATTAATAATATCGACCTTGTATAACAGGATCGACAATATGAGCTATCAGAGAAACAACTGATTACTAAACCTTTCATTCTTTGATGACTCTAATACATTCTGAAAAATTTATTATTTCCAGTTAGAGGAGGCATTCGGAGTTTATGTTAAAAGACAAACTTGCGGTGATGGTTTTGGTTTTTGCATGAAAATGACGTTCACATTTGAAGATGGTGGTAGGGTTTTGTCCGGACCATTTAAATCCTCTTTTATTTAATACAAATGTGTATGCAACCCCTGTCAAACAAAGTTCAATGTATATGAAGCAAGGACAATTCATTTCTCATCTGGACATTTCCTTTGCAAGAGCCCATGTTTTGAGAAATTATGTATTTAGCACCGGAAATGAAAATGTACAGCCAACAAGCATTCGCTCGTAGCAGAGGTTCGTTTTTCACAGTAACCGAGTGGAATTAGGATAAAGCAGATAATCACTTCTGTAAATTCAACCCCCAATTTGACTGTGCAACAAAAACAATATCTTAACATGACTTTAGTGCAGTGAAATACTAAGATTCTCGCATATAAGGACAGTGATAGATCACAAGCAAAATTTGTGGAAGTATATACCTGACAGTTGGCAAAGTCTTCATCAGTAAATTTGACAAAATTACGTTAGAGAATAGGTCTACGGAGATTACCATAAGATTTTATACGGTAGCATTTTAAAATCCTTTTGTAGCTTTGAAAATAGTTCGTTTTTTTCAGATACTCTGGATGTATGTATTTGTAGCAGGCACCTTTGCAGTGGTATCATGAGGACACGATTTAGAAATTCTAATCTGTTTCTGGTACAAATTATCCCTTTGTATTAGTGAATAAAATACCTTTGAAACTGTGCAGACAAAAAGCATATCATATTGAAATAAGTTAAATCATAGAAAATAGTAATCAATCTAAGTGCAGAAAAGCTAGTTTCCGAATCTGCAATAAACGCAAAATTCATTGTATTACGGATAATTCCTATAAAGTGATATTACAATTAGACAGTTTTAGTAAAAAACAAATACAACTCGGAGGCAGTTTGTTTGTATGTCAGGTAAGACTGAGCAAACATGGTTCGTTTGAATACATTCTTGAAAATGAAGGAATTTGTTAGACCCAAATTGTAGCAAATAACAAACAAGTCAGTGCTTTATATCGTAGTGACTGTTACTCCAATATTACAGATAACAATTTCAATAATCCACGAGTTAATTCCTTATCGAAAAATCCTATAATGATACTGTTTAGAAACAAAGATTTTAAAGCATCGAATTCTGGAAAACCAAAATTTTCAAACATGATTAGCATTTCCATTTCTATTCAGCGCTTACTGCTGTTCATCTACTATTAAACGAGACATTTTTGTCTAGTACTGTGAAAAAAGGAAATCGAAAACAAAAGAAATTGCAATTTAATGTATCAGCTGCAGACTCAGCTGTGGTCAAGTCAGAATATAACTAGAAATTGACCACAAGTCAAATGAGATTAGCTGTGCGAAAGTAGCACTCGTTAAAAAACGATTCTTACCGCGAAACACTGTTGTAAACCAGTACAGCACCGGTAAAAAATAACACAATCAGAATGCCGATTATGGCAAATAAAAATTCAGCACCACTGAATTCTGCATTTTGCGTATAATTAGATGATTCATGTATCTTCAATAATTTACGATTGATTGCGTCGTATATTTTTACTGTAAAATCCAATTTTCGCAATAAATAGATAAATTGTTTCTTAACTCATAAAGAGATTTTAGAGGTGAAAAATAGTTCATGTCGTCTATTATTTGATTCCACCATTATTAGTAACTTTTTCGAGCCACTCATTGCTCTTTGTGGAAGACAAACACTTTGTCTAAAGTGTAATAAAGCTTACGAAACTTACTTTAAACTATTTTAACATTTTGAACTATTTATTATTATTGATTTCTTTATTACTGTTATCATTATTATTATTATCATTATTTATTATTATTATTATTATCATCAGTAAATTTATTACTAATTTATCACTACTAATCTAATCAGTATTATTAATTTATTATTATTATTATTATTATTATTATTATTATTACTGATGAAACATAGCTGATATCATGGACAGAATTGAAGAAATCGAGAATTTTTTCGTGAAAAAAGTAACCCCAGTACCTTTGCGTTTATAGATACTGAGTACAGCACTTTCAGGTGCTCACCGTTTCGCTCCATATTTGTTATCTGAAAATTCTAAGAATGAGTGAATAAGAAATTTAAGAAAACAGAAGCAATCTCCATTACTGTTACTAATGCAAATATTTAATTAGTCAGGTGAGTTAATAAATGATGGCAGGCTTTGAAATGATGAACAAATTTATTTTATATTTATTAGTATAAACTAACTATGTGAAAATTGAAGAGGAAACAAAGTTGAGAATAACCTTAATCTGTACTGCATCTTCACTGATCGGTAAGCGTCCTTCATTCAAATCAGTGAAAAGCACAAATTTTTTCAATGCTAGCAATAACTTATGATTCAGTTCCACTGCTGTTAAATTGATACCAAGCGGAATTTTCAACTGAAGTTCGTAATGTTCTTCATTTTCAAAGCTAGATAGTGCACGTTTGAATTTACTAGTGGAAAAGAAATTTTGCTGTTCGAATTCAGTCTCCGGATTTTCATGACCATTTTGACTTTCTTTTTTTGTTGCGGAGTCATGTTGGATTATTTTATCGAAAATTTCTTTCAGAAAGGTGATCATGGGGATAGAAGGAACTTCCAAAGCACTTTTATTCCATTCCTTATGTTTTGAAATTTCATTTGCGTCAAAAGTTATTTCACTCTTTGCTTCGCTATCTTGTAGAATGAAATTGTCTGAAATGTAAAGCAAATTTGAAGCGTCGAAGTAAAAAAGAATTTGCAACATTTGCCGATCGTTTCTAGATTTGTAATAAATTTAAATTAGCCATACTGTTAGTCGGGAAAAAAAGTAATCATGAAATAAACAACCCTTTCGAAATGAAACGGTAGACGGATAATGAGCAGTTGGTGGAAATTCAAATGGTAGAGAAACAAACGGAGTCCATGCTGAGCCTGAAATTTCTAGAGAAATAAAAAAAAAGTACAGCAACAGATGGTAATAAAAATAAGGTGTCACTTAAGCATCTAATAAAAACGACGAAATAATAACCGATTGAACGATTTGTTTTCACAACGATCGGTTTTTCTGACGTATTCATTACCGTTGGTTCTTTGGTAAAAAATGCTGTAAATAAAAGAGCTCATCGGCATAAACTCTACGAAATACTAGGCATATGCAAGCAACAGAAAATATAGGATCATAGTATTACTCAAAGTATTACTCAAAAAGTATTAAAAAGCATTACTTAAAATGTATTTAGGCAAGTGGAACATCAATAAAATCTTTATAACATTAAAAGCAATTCACTGTTAAGTTCCTTATAGCAAAAATTAATTTCAGAAAATTAACTGAACTTTTAAAACATAAAGTAAATAAGGCTAGAATTGATTCTGTTAAGAATTTGATTTTCAATCAAGGAAAATAGCAGTAGTACTTTAACTTACGAGTGTTCTGCAATTCTGATGGTTCTATCTCGATACACTTAGTAGTTGTTCCCATTTTTTGTGGCGTAAGACTTAGTAATGCATCTAAAATTTTAAAATAAAGCATTTTTTGCCACTTTCTACGACATAGTTGATATTTTCCAGTTTGAGGATTTATGGAATATTATATATTACCAAACCCTTAGCACAGAAGATTAAGTTATCCAAAGAAATTGAGAATCTAAGGGATAACGAACTGAAAAGAATGAGAAGGTGTTATAGGTGTAAATAGCAGTAGATCGTACTATTATTAAAACAGTTGCTACACTAATTATTTAGCAATTCTGGAAATTGCAAAAGTTGTTGTCCGTTTTCTTTAAAGTGTTCCAGAATTTTAAAATTAAACTGACACGGGATATAATAAATCTACCTGTATGCGTTGTGGTGGCAATCATGGTAGTAGGCATTGTAATAGGTACACTGTTTCCTGCAACATTGCCCCAACTAAATTCGATAAACTCAGTTTGAACATAATCGCGATTCTCATCATTGGGATATTCTTTTTCGGAAACCACAATCTCAGTAACATCACCAGGATTACTTGCTGTTGAAGCGTTAATAACTGATTGTGGGATGTGAGAAGTGATCGGCACCGGCATACTGCTAATAATGACTTCAGCTGTGCGGTTGGTGATTAGTGTTTTAATTGGAATAAGCGGAATGGTTGGGACTATAGTCACTAGTGAACTGGATAGTAAACTCGAAAGCATAGCTGTTAAGGTGAATGAAGAACTAGAAGATATAGTCCTTAATGTGGATAATGTTCCTGAAGAAGCGACTGTTGACGTATCTAGTGAAATAATTGATGTCATTGTTGTTTCTAAAACTTTTGGCCAACTAGGCACATTTGTCCAAGTACCAATTTGTTCTGTTTCTGTAGCCTCAGCAATAAAACTTGTGAGCGAAGTGTTTTCAGAATACGACAGAGCTGTACTTTCAGTAGAACTTGAGGACGTTGAAGTTTTATTCCTAGTCAAAATGGTTGATGATGATTCAGGAAATATAAGTGTCAATTGAGGAAGCAAAGGGGTCATAAAAGCTGATTCAGGAATACTTTCGTAAATATGACGATCGGTTGTTGCAGCAACTCCAGTTTGGAAATCACTACTTACATTAGCCATAATAAATGGTATTTGTGTAGCCAATACTGTTTTATTACTGTTATTATCTCGTTCATCTGTGGGGAAATTATGGTCAAAATTATTCAACGTGGTATCCTGAAAATGGTCCTGAGGAGTCAGAAATGGAGTTAACATTGTTGGCAATGATTCTAAATGATTGTTTGCAACGACATCCACTGAAACATTGCCGGTGAAAACTTGTAAGTTTATTTTTCCACCAGTAATATCCACCGCATGATGCGAAGCTGTTGAAGCCATCTGTAACGCAGGGAAATAAAAGTTATGAAATTATTGTAGAATTCTAAATTCACCTTTGCGTTAAAAATTATTTTCAAAAATCTCATTAATATGATTTAATCTTGCACTTCGACTTTTTAATCCTTTCATTAACTTGATATAGTTGATAAATGTATTCAAATTATAAAAAGAAAAAAAAAAATGCGAACATTTGTTGAAGTAGTTTGCACTGTAATTTGTGAACGATTTGTAGATGCATGAATGGAGCTAGTATTGCCAGATTTCAACAAAATTCTCAACTGCATTGATAAAAGATTTACATTGCCAGCAGGACGTATTTCTCGACCTTCAACGACGACCGCTTCTCTTCCACGGTCAATGACCACTCTGTGAAAAGACTATTAGTCTTATATCAAGAACCTTATACCAAGAAGCACAGGAAAGTGAAAAAACTATTTCGAACAACCAACTTTTAAAAAATACAAAACACGAAATTTTGGAATTCTCTACGAATGTCCTAAATTAATTTGCTGAAAACTCAGATACCTGGAATACTGATCAGTACTAATGATGATATTTGACGAATTAGGGAGCATTTGTACAATTGCTCGTTCATTCTCGCATTGCACAATCATCTCGTGGTCAGAAACCAATATTTCAAAAGGTGATACAATAGTTTTCAAATTAACCATGTATAATCCTGACCTTATCCTTAGAAAACGATAGTCTGGTGTTATTTGTACGGTAATATTTCCATATCGCATTTTCATCTGAATAAGGTTTAAGATTTGCAAACTGGAAAAGTAAAAACCGTTGCCATAAAAATTATGACAGTTCTTGGCAAAAATTTGATCAGAAAGTGGAGGAATTCTAGAAAAAACTTCGAGGATTTTTTAAAACAAAATTTGAACCAATATACTTAGATAATTAGCAGTAATTAAAGAAATGTAGAACAACATGGAAATCTTAAAAGTGTTAACCTGTGCATTGAAAATAGTCATGTTAATATTGTAGTTACTGCTGACTGAAACAATATGAAGTTGACGATTAAGACCATTTAAAATATTGGAACCGATAGTGATTTGACCAGCCACAGGTAACTGCCAAGTAACAGCCGAAACGTGAGCCCACTGGCCATTAATTGCATTTACTTCAGTAATACCATTGGAAAAAATTAAGTTGACCTTCTTATCAGCTCTATACTCCATATAGGAGTGACCGTCAGTGCTTCGATTTGCCCTCAGCAATATCTGAAAGTCGAACTGATGACCAGTTAATTAATGTACATCAGCTTAACCAGGACAAAGTAGTTTATAAGGCTTGAAAAAATCTAGAGGGTACAATTCCCTGAAGCATAGACTAAATTTCATAAACTATTTCCAATTAATCCTAAAAAAAGATTGCTTTTCAATAAAAAGTTAACATAGTTTGGAAAACTAGTAGTACGGGGTTTTAATCATTCTGTCTTTTTCCCTTTCCGTTTTTCATTACATATTACTCTAATTGATCTTTTAGAAAACGTTTGCAAATCAAAGCTTGCTATGATAATTCTCAAACAATGAAGTAATTCTTTCGAAACTATTCATCAAAAAACCAAAGGGACTGCAAATAGTACGCAAAGTTTTAGGACAGTTACATAATTCACAAAAAATCATCTTTTCATAATGAAGGGGAAACTTATCTGGATTTGCTCGCATTTTGTTTGAAGAATTACTTGTGAGAGCTCAAAAATGGAAAGAACATTGTTATAACCGGAAAATTTTTCAGTTTGTCCATGCGGTTGAAAGTCTAATCTTGAATTGCGTGACCATACTTTTCCATGCAGAAACTTTTCTTGGAATTCAACTTTTGATTCATCTGAGATGACAACTACCCAATCGGTGATAGAAACATTGGAACTGGATGAATGTACCTGTGTGACCATGATCTTCATGTAAGTCAAATAGGAAATTAAGCACTCTGAGATATCTAATCCTTCGTCTCAAGAACAGTCATAGTGATTTATCCCGCTCCTTTTTCTAATTTCCAAGGTTTTGAAAGAAAAACTCAGAAATAAATAGAAGGTAAAGGATAAAGAATTACTCCTTTGAATAACAGCAAGGATATCAATAGCGCTCTGTAAAAGCAACTTGGACTAGATAAAATTAACTGCTTTAACTGCGAGACATTTCTGACTTGCAGTTAAATATGAAACAAAATTCATAGTAGTCTGCTCTGTATAACTGCTAAAGTAAAGCAAAAGAAGCAGTTTTATCGTGAGAGCTAATGGAAGAATGAAAATGAAGTACCACAATATGATCTGTAGGCAGTGCATGTTGTTCGAAATGCTGTTGAGTAGTAACAAGTTGGTAATAGCTAAGAAGTAGAATATAGACACTGGGAACAAAGGGCAGTAAATAGCAACAAGGCATTCGGTACTAGGTCAGGCTTATGTAAAGGAACGTGAGCATGTTGGCAATGCCATCCTACCCAGGCAGCCACCGACCACACCTCATCCGTTTCTTGAAGCTGTATATGCTCCTTCCTAGACACCAGTATCCATGGTGATCTTTTGAAATATCTGGCCAATAAACAAATGTACTCCACCAACAACATATCCTGCACATTCCTCGACACAGTAAATTGCTATTCCCCAACCTTCCCTGAAACTTTTGATAACTAATCTTCAATCTCTCTGTCCTCTCTTCCTTTAGAACTATGCTGTTAGATTCAACTACAATTTGGTCTGGAATTGACAGTATTTAAAAATTTTGAAATTCGAAAAACCGCAATAGAAATTCGCTGACTGACCACTCTGTCATCATTGGTTTCAGTTCACTTCCATCGAACTATCCTCTTGGCGCGTCATCTCTCAACTCTAAAACATCATCAGGACCAATTTCTTACAACTATTCGATGGTTGATCTAATCGATATACTCACTATATCAAGGAGCAAAATGGAAAAATATTTATTAAAGTATCCATTAGAACAACATAAAACAGTAGTATGACTTCTTATGATTCCCATGCACCATTACTAACAGCTTGACTTACTCGCTAATTGTAAGATGGAAACAGTTTGAGCAAACCATCGGTAACTAAAAAATAAAATTTAACACAACTTACAGATACACATATTAACAAAATTGAATTAGTGAATCAACAACGCTGCGCACTTGGTAAAAAGTAAATTTGCATAAGACGGATAATAGCTTACCAAATATAAGGTATTCGAATTCAAGAAAAATTAAGTTTTGGAAAAAACAGGAATGAAATATAGTATGGAGTTTGCGTATGTATGATGAGGCAGTTACTTGAGATGAACAATGTAATTCAGCACCAACAAAAAAGGCGACACATGCATATGGTATCAGTTGATTGGAATCATAGTAGTAGTAGTTTCAGTAATCCCGAAGAAATTATTAGTACATTTCAGAAAAAAGAAAATATGTAGATATCAGAAATACGAAACTAAATTTGCAACTTAGAAATGTGAAATTTGAAAAGAGTTGAACATTGAAATCTCAACACATTCAGAGAGGTTACCACTACGAAGCACAACTGAGGATAAAAAGAAAGGAAAACCCGTTGGCAAGCACTGGAGTTAAACAACAATATAAAAGCATACTACTAACAGTACCCTGAATCCGATGTATTCGGTAATTAGAGAAGCCAAAAATGGTACTTGCTTATTACTCTAAGCAGCCATAAATATGATATAAGTTATTATAACAAATTCCTCTCCCTCATTTCTGCCTGAACTTGGAATAATTTAACGCATTTTTGGATTAGGAATAAATTTACAATGTCGAAGAATGACTAAACGATTTGCACGAAGTATTCTGTACGAAATATCACGCTTTACGAATAAAGATTACACAAGGTCACCGTCAACATGCGCAAAATTAAATGGAGTGGTATGTATTCCACCATGATGTAAAAACGTGCTCAACATTTGTGACGTTGTGTTATTATTTGCAAGTAAACTGGTTGAAGAACTGACATCAATAATACGTGGTTTATGTATTCGACGTGAAGAATCAACATCATCCACGTCGGTCACCAAAGACAGTGAATCTCTATCCGCAAAGCTAAACGTTGTATCACCATTTTCCGATACCTTCTAAATAAAAAAGATCTACAGTATCCAATAATTTCATCTCATAATCTGTAACGTAATGAAAACTAATTTCTAAGCCACCGAATTTACCCAGATTTCCGTTTGCATTGAATAATTAATGCAATTATTACATAAAATGCAAGTATTTCTTTATGACTGTTTTATTTGAAACGAAAAAAAAACTCAAAAATGAAATACTGGGTGGTGAAGATTGACGTAATTATGCAGTGACCTTCGCAATGTATTTGATTTGATAACATCACCATATAGATTTGCTAAAAATAGACAGGTGGGGTTTTTCAGCAATAAAAAGAAATGTGGCAAATTAAGGTCTGGTTAACAAATTAAAGAAAGTTATGACATACGATCAAATTCATATTCAACCAAACATTCCGGTTCATAGTAATTAACTGGATCCACTTGCTGTACATATCCATTTGGACTAACTTCCTCAAAAAGTAATTTCGATCAGTTTAAAGATAAAAAATATGCATTGGAAGTAAAATATGAAACAGACAATTTGTTGTAACAAATATTAACACATACAATCATTGTTCTCAAACTCTGGTCATCCTCGGAATGTGGATCATGACCTAATTCGCTTCTGCTTGTATTGATCGAATCCGGTCTACATAGGCTTTCAGCACATGTTAACGTTCCATACATTTGTACTGGCCTTACATCTAAGCCGTTATTATTGGCATTTCGTACCATCTCCGTTTTTTCTGGAAAATTATTGCAAAACGAACATCACAACAGCTGCCTTCATTATTATTATTATTAATTAAGCGAAACTAATTAAAATCTTATTACGATTTCGGAATGAATAAATCAAACGTCGCTCAACTTACCTTGCAGCTGTCTCTTCCGTTTTCGTCGATGAATGTAACAGAGTAGAAAGCAATTTAATAATAATAGAATTATGCAACATATACCAAATATCACGATTACTGACATAGGAAAAGAATCCTTCTAAAATAAATTGAAGCATTTTACAGGCATGTGTACCGTATCACAACTTAATTTCTTAAAGCAAAAAATAGTTCTGGTTTCGAAGTATTAAAGACTTGGAAATCCAAAACACACACGGAATATTATATCAACCTTTGTCGCACTAATAACATCCATTCCGTATTCGTCTTTTGTATAGACAGTAATAGGGGGTCGAGAAAATTCTGACACCATGCCACGTTTATTTCGTGCTCGGATTGAGATTTCGTATAGACAAGCTGGTTGTAATCCTCGGATTTCTACTTCCTAAAATTTCTCATAAAACTTACACGATATGTATAGAAAACTAAGAAAAATAGAAGCATATGTCATTTTTTACATTTCATTCTTCTACAAAAACTTGCAGTAGCCGAAAAATTGTTGACATATGAAATTGTCATCCATTAAACAGCATGTAACCTTAAGCTATTTTATTCAACAACGATGGTGTGAAATTTTAAACATTCCAAAAAACCAACCGGAAATGACGAATTAACGATATGATAAACACTCTCTACAGATGTCTGGTAACGCACTTCAAATATTTGTTCCGAACCTCCATCAAAACCAGGAATCCAATTAAATGACAGAGAATTTTTTGTAATATTTGAAACTCGTAATGAGGAAGGAGTATCCGGGGCTGTTGGCGGACTGACTCGGATTTCAACAGTATCTTCTCCATACCTATTTATTGCGAAGCATTTTACTGGATGCTGGTAGTCGTAACGATCCAAAGAAGAAATATAAAACACACCCTGGAATTTAAGCATTTCTTATACCATTAATTTTTAAGTACCATCACTTAAATTTGACAAATTTGCCAAAAACTAGAAAATTATGGAAACGATATTAACCTCAAATGTAGAATAATTCAGTTGAAGGGTTGTGAACGAATATTTAGAACTATTTCGCCGGACTGGGCTTGATTGGCCTTGAACAATCCACTGGAAATGAGCATCCGGAACTGCATGTGCTCTACAACAAAGTTGTACTCGTCCACCCAAAGGTCCAGCAGCTCGTAAAAGCGATGGTTGCCTAATGATTGCTGGTGCACGATTCACCAACAGATACGCCACAGTGCGATTAGCCTTAAATAATGTAAGAATTCTAAGATCCAGCATTAACTCTATTACAACAACCAGCAATTTGTTGTGAATCTTCAACACATTTATAGCAGCAATTATTGGCGAAATTCATTTATTCATTATTGGCATATACGCGATGAAATTCATTTAAAAGATTTAAATAAAGACTACCAACCACCCCTTTTCCGTTATCGGCAAGGCAGATATATGCACCACTTGTTTCAAATGATGCATTGAGTCGCATAACAGCTCTAGTTTGTCCAACAAATGACACTTCTTCAATAATTTGCTCGTCATGTAACCATTTTACCATGCCATCACGCTTAGGAACGCCATCTACTTCACATTCCATAACTACTTCCTTACCTACCGTGGCTATCACTGGTGAGGTTATATGCGTCACATACGCTGCATCTGAATATCAAGAAAAAAAATTGCTGAAAAGAAAAAGAAACACTAATTATGGTAAAAACAATTTTACTCCCAGAACAAATATTCCTTTCAAGTTCCTTTACGAAAGTTAACAGTTTATTCTTCAAAATTTTCTTAGAAGCAAGCTAAGACACTCCAACTGTGCACTACTCCTCGTTAGCGAATAAACCCAGAAAAGATTAAGAATACGATAATAATGCTTACATTCCACAGTTACATAAACCGTAACATTGACTGTGCCGATACTGTTTCCTGCTATAAGAGTAAAAAGACCACTATCAAATCTAGTGACGGAATGTCCAGATAAGACAGGTCCTGCAACAGATTTCTTAAAATCAGACAGCTCATTGATCACAGAAACAAAAGAACATTGCATGGTTTTAAAAATGTACCTCTAGCTGTAATTGCACCGACCATATGTTCAAAATGAGAACCATCTTTTCGCCATCTCCAAGTGCTTACTGGTGGATTAGCACGTAATGTAATATTTTTTTTGAAGTCATCACCCTCACCGATGACAATAGCTAAAGCCCCATCTACCACTATTCGTGGAGCATCTAAAAATTACATCACTGAGTAAAGGAAATTAAGCAAAGAAAATTTCTTACCTTTCGGGGAGAGGGAAGAGGGGGGCAAAAAACTGTAGCAGATATTCCAACTTTTTCTACTACTAAATGCAAAGTATAACTCACAAAGAACATTCAGTGAATATAATGCAAATTTCTGTTCAGCCCACTGCGGATGCGATGCAGTACATTGAACCTCACCGCCATCCATCTCTTCCGTTGGAATGAACTCAATAACACTTTCCATCTCATGTCCACCATACTCTTGATTCCTTAAAATGTTTGGAATAGATGGAACCTGCACAGCTCTAGATAATAATGAAAGCGCTACACAGTTGCTCTGCATTAAATAATACAGCAGCTTAAAGTGAGAATAAATGCGTTACTAATTCAACTCACGATCGATTATTGCGTTTTTCCTCAAACAAGAACCCAGCACTAGCAACAACTGGGAAAGTCCACGTCAACTGCGCTATAGGATTTGAAGAATGAACCAAGCAAAACAATTTCGTAATTTCTCCCGCTATGATTAGTCGTTTGCTTCGATCCTGACGCACGGTAACCCGCCGTGGTGGGACTGAAAACTTTTTTTAATGCACAAAAATATCCCAACTTCTCCCACCTACTGATCTAAAAGTTATTAAAATTCAAAAATCCTATCACTGACATAAAACAGTCAAGGATTTTGTAACAACAAGCGGTTCATCTAATGCGCCATTTCTGGCTTCGCATTTCAATTGCTGATTATTCATCGTGCGATCAAGAGAAACTGATATGGCACTTTGTGAAATGTCACCCAATGCAGCATTTCGTGTTCCTTTGAGCTAAAAATATTACACACTAATAAGTTGGTAAAAGTGTAAAAAAAATTTTGAAAGTTCATGCATTTCTATCTACATTCTTTTCTTGCAGAGCAATGTGTAAAACATAGAAATTCTACTATCTTCTAGAATAAATAGTAGAGCAGCCAGAAATCACATCTTTATTTCTGCTAACTGACAACATACTTACTTTTTAATAAGCACACGTGCATAGCAATAAATGTGTGACTAACGCAATATAGTGGTCACAAGACAAATGCTGAACTACTAAAACCTAACCTCCTTCCAGCGAGTTTTATTTTTGTGTTTGGAATTTCGCTATAATGACAGAATTTTTGAAAAAGACAAGAAAGAATTTAAAAAGAAAGGAATTTAAAAAGGGATTCAGAAATCTCGCATTCAATAATCAAAAGCTGATTACTCTGAAATATTTGATATTTATCTACAGTGTAGTTTAAAAACTCGCTTTTGCGCATAACTTTGGTCACAGACCTGCTATCAGAATTACAGTCTAAAAGAGAAGTTTTAAACCTTTTCGACACCCCTGAACCACGTTAACGTCGCGAGTGGATTTCCTCCTTGGGATTCGCATGTAAGATTCAGAGTTTCACCTTCCAGAAGTATCATTCCTTCAGATCCATAAATGACCGGTTTCATGGGCGGTGCTATAAATTTTAGTAACAATTCCTAAAATTGTACATTGAAAATGAAAATTTTTAGCCATGAGAAGTTAATATATAATAATTCCATATTCAAATGAAAGCTCACAAAGGATGTGAATAACCAATTGTTTGCTTGTTGTTCCTTGATCATTCACAGCAATACATTGAACATTAATTTGATGTTTAACAACATTTACATCAGTTGAACTGATGGTTAGATTTGAAACAGTAACAGTACCAGTAGTCTGTTCCAGATATGAATGAATTACTGACTGTACTGCTTGTCCATTAATTAGCCAAGAAATTTTGGCTGCTGGATTCGATAATCTAAAACTTACATTCGTGACGTAACCGCGAACTCGTATCTTCGTCAGAATCTACCATTTTTTCCTACCCACGTGTATTTATTTCGGAAATGCCCGCAGCATTTAAAAAAGATGAATTTAGAAAACATACCCCGTTCTACATTGTAGTGCAACTATATGTCCAGTTCGTACAGTTGTTTCTCCTGATATTTCAATGCTACGAGGAGCAACTGAAATTTGAAATCTTTGAACAAAATTTAAAAACACAATTTATTAGAACTCGAAAAACTTACATAAAACGGAAAGACGAATACCCTCAGAAAGAGGTACATCATCGGCTAAATTTGTTGACTGACATTCATATACAGCACCATTGTCATCTGCATCAACTACCATTGAATAAATATTAACAGTTTCCTGAAAATATAATATAAAATGAGAAAAGCAAGCTTCGTGCTTTTTTGTGGTAAAAAATTCCTTCAATAAGCATTCCCAGAACAGGAGTGGAAAGAAAAGGAATGAAGAGGAGTTTTAAACAGGAGAACAAAACAAGATCCAGTGTGCAGATTTGTCCTAGATTTCTAACGGGAACAACTATAAAGTTTATTGGAAATGAGTCGATACAGAATTTACCACTCATTTTTGAAAATTACAGTATAATCATGATAATCATGATTATACATATATTACTGGTCATAAGTCGCAAAGTATTATACTTTTTGCTTCTATCTTTTTATTCCAAAGAGATATTTGCAAATAATTTATTGCAGCTAAGGTTCCTAAATTTGCATACTTCCCAAAAAAGAAGATAGCAGCACGCTGGGTTGCATGGAAATATCCGGATTTTAAGTAACATACTTTCGTTAACTCGTTATACGTATAATTGCTACCAATAAGGTTCCGATGAAGAAACCAAAGAAGTCTGGGTGGTGGATTGCCTCCGACCACTGAACACTTCATAGTGATGTTATCACCAGGTTTTAGAAGACTAGGTTGACTCAAAACATCTATCTTTGGTACTTCTGAAGGATCTGAAAACATAAACAAGAACTACTGACAGTTGCATAAAAGCCCTTCGGTGATAAAGAACCCAACTTATGCGAGAATCGCTCCATATGGAAGGAAAAATTTAACACATGAATGAATATACAAAACATTGTAATAAAGTGTGAAATATGATCAATATGTCAAGTAATGAATTTTATAAAATTACATAGAACATTAGGTGTGATATTCACTCTGAACTGACTAGAAGTTGATGGATGCAGAGCTTCACAAGTGAGAACTGCTCCAATGTCACTTTTCCTATAAAAAAAGATAATGAAATTCCAGAACAGAACGTTGACGTATGAAAACCAGGATCAATATCCACAGTAGTAACTTTTCCGGAGGCACTGCAAATTGATAATATACTGCAGGTCAGACAAGGAACTTATTTTCATAAAAATGTACCGGGGCTTCCAGGACAAAATTGCGAAAGCGGTGACCGTACGATTTGCATTCATTTCAGTCCATCGTATAACACCATCCTCAATCTTCTTCCCGTGAATGTACCAATTTATAACTGCATGAGGCTTTCCGTTGGCCGCCATGCAACTCAGATTATAATCATTTCCTTCGACAACATTAATAACGGAATCAGGATCGATATCCATAATAGCAACTTTTTCCGGAGACACTACAAATTGTTAACACTATTAAGAATGCTAAAGTGTAGGACCGGTTAAGGAAACAGGTTGAGTAGCTAAAAATGCGTCCCTTCGTTTCATCATATTTCACAACTAAATTTTACTGGCTAACTCATCAGTATTCAAGCATAATGAACTCATAAATTAACAAAAAAACCGAACGATCGAATTCCGAACAAAATTATTTCTTGGCATTTTTACTGATAATAAAAATTTTAACTCATTATAACAACGCTCTGATAGCTGTCTTTCAAATGCTCTTGGGATGTGATAATGCACTGAACAAGTTCATTCAAAAGATGGTCGGTCCCCTAACAACATTCAGTAAAACTAACCAACAGTTTAGTTGGTCACAACTAGTAAGCTTTGAATAACTGTTGAGGTAAGTAATGCGATTATCTTACCTAAGACATTGACAAAGGCAGATGTTCGATAAGCACCCAGGCTGGGATGTATCATTTGACATTCAAACAAGCCATCATCCCTCAATGTCACGTTTTCAATTTTCAAATGTTTCTCATCTGGACTGTGGATCACGTAGCTGAATCGACCTTCATGTCCAGACAATTTCCCTGCACCGTGAAAACTGAAAATGAATATTATTATTATATCTTTTCTGCGCGTTACAAGTGCTCCTACAGCTTCCATTTTCGGTGTCCTACTAGTTAGAATATGAAAACAACTCAATTTCACAGAGCTCAAATAAGACTAAAATTGGATCAAGAAAAATTGAAGCGAATTAACACTTATATTAGACTAGTTTTGTGAACAATAAAGTAAAAAGTCTATGTAGTTAAAGGATGAGAAACTAACCCCAAAAGACTGCCATCATTATTTCGCCACTGGCTGACTAATGGCGACTCATGAGCAGAGCATTTCAGAAGTGCATCTTCACCAAGTAACACACTCTGAAACACCACGAAATTATTTTTTCACTCTTAAATTGCGAATTAAAAAATGACAAGCTCGAAAAATTTTTTAAATTAGTAAGGCAACCTGATTTCTGGGTTCCTCCTTGAAGAAATTTTGTACAACACCATATGTCAAACGCAGCCACTGCAGAACTATAGTGGTAAGCAAAGCAACCAGCATTTCATCGCATTCATGCACACATCACTATAAAAGATTTCCCTAGAAACTTAAACTCGATGACATTGGAAGTCGGGCTGCTGCGGTGAACGCTTCAGTTTATCCATTTTGTCAAAAATGGAAATGACATTCAAATTGCGATTCTGTGAAGGGAACGATCTGATTTTCCAAATTTACGAAAAGCAATGGTAGGAGGCGGGAGAAGAATACAAAAAAAGGTACTGCAAAAGGAGAAAAGTGAGGCAAACCTGAAACTTATCAAGGACGAGAATGAATACCACTGCTGTCACCGGTATACATTATCCTAAATCGGCACATCCTCATCCTACTTATCAAGCGCTTTAATGCAGGTCAAAAATACCGCTGTTATGAAAAAGCTCTGCTTACTTATTGAAATCTAAATACAGAAAGTGAAGCAAACATTCTGAAATCAAAAAAACGACCATATTGAAGTGAAAGTCTCAACTTTCAAACAACTAAAGGGAAATACACGCAAGTAATGTCTAAAATCCTTAACTTCTAATCTGCTAAGCCTCACCACCATAAAACAAATAAATTAATATGCAAATGTGTAATCGAAGAAGTGGTCAATCTTTAGGTATCTAATATCGCTTATAAAGCGAAAGTAGTCCACTGCTTTTACGTAACAGTGGACAAGTACCCAGATCTGCGCAACCTGGCTTACGACGAAATCGAAATAAAGCGTTGTCGGAAGAAGGTTGAGAAAGCGAAGATTAAATCCAAAAAAGTGAAAGATTGTTTGTTTCCTGCGTGAGAAAACACGCAGAATTATTCTTCAATATCCTACATCGTATATGCATAAATATAAGCTGCATGCGCTACGCAATTCGTACTTGTTTTACTATAATTTTTTCTTCCAAAAAGCATTGAACATTCGCCAGCTGATGCTCCAAGACCGGAGATTGTATCCAATGCTGACGATGTGTCAAAGCTGATATGCATATCCTCGAAATTCTTTTCTTTTCATTTGTAATTCCAGTCATTAATGCCCAGCTTGAATACGTCTTACTCGAATGCTTATAATTATCATCTAACTGAAGTCATTCCCGTACAATAATAAGAGTGTTCAAGTGGAATATAGTTAAATCATTATTGATTCGAAAACTTGGTTTAGAAATTTTGATAGAGAAACCTACAGAATGTTGATAAAGTAAAGGCTGTATTCATTCCTCATTTAAATTCATGTACTACAGATAACACGCAAAGCGTTGCATGAAGAGCTGCTGACGATGTGATGGAAGCACCTGATGCTGAAGCAAATCTTCTGAAAACCAGTGTGTTAATTAACCTTTCTGCCAGCAACTTTTTAAATGTGCATATATGTGGCAGATTCTGATGAAGGAAGGAATACAAAGTTGGTTCTTGTGAAGTATGTTTTGTAGAGAATTTCAGACAGCTCTGCTGAAATACAAACAAGCAGTTTTCGTTTGGAAATGAGGCCACTAGAAATTAGTTACATTTCGCCCAAATATCCTGTTATGCATCTTATTATCACTGAATTCTTCATTTGCGCAACTGATAAACAATAAAGATGGTTTCCGTTTTCTGCTCTCACCATTATCACCGCGTCATATTTCAGTTTCCCATTTAATTCCCTTCTAGAAAATGTTTTATCTATAAATCATTCTCATATTCCTCAGCGTGGTAATTTTAGCATGTTTGCGACATTTCCGGAAGAATTAGAACTTTATTCTGAATGAGAAGAATGAAAGTTCAATGACATTGCAAAACTCTAGTTTTAGCTGTGAAAGAGTTAAGATCACTTCATCTAGTGAAATGTTGAAGTTGGGATCACACAAGCACATCAAATTATTAAGACGGATTTAAGGAATTCATGATGGGACGACGGAGAAAAAAAAATATTTTGTCCATTAAACAGATTGAACAATTAGCTCGGCAATGATGTTAAGCATAGATTATATTATACCAAAAATGTTTAGTTCATGATGAATGGGCATTTTCTGTAATAGAACTTCATTTTAACTAAAGCCGTCTCCTTCAGTACAGAATTACGTGTCATCATTCCACAACCGGGACCACATTTCAGGATGGGTTGATGCGTTTTCTGACTTCCATTTGTGTAGATTGGATTTCCATCAATCCGATAAATAGTTATCACAAATGGCTGAATCAGTTGAATTGGAACCATGCTTAGAATTAGAATTAGGAAAAAGGAAATGCATTGTATTGACTTTACCGACGAGTTAAGATGAATTCAGAAATTAGACAATAAATTTGAATCATTCACAGCAGACTGTGATCAAGTAGTGAATTTTGAAATTATCCAATCGACGAAACGATATCATTAATAATAGAGCTTCCCTATCATACAATAATGGAGTATACTTATTATTGCACGGCTAGAGTATTATAAAATGAAGTGGAAATACTCCTTGTTTGTTAAACGTTTAACCAAGATTTTTATCAGACCCATCAGTAGAAAAGCATCCAATCATCTACACACAATTGCAGTTCGAAAAGTGAGAAAAAAGGGATCTGTTAAGGATTAATGTTAAATCAAATCCAGTAGAATGGGTTTTAAAGTTTTTTTTTTTTTTAAAAATAACTTCTGTTATTCTATGCAAATTCCCTCAAGTGCGTTACATATGACTTAAACATGCATTCATTACTCATAACGGGGAAAAAGTAAGTGAAACACAAGGTTTTTGAAATGGATAAGAAATTTGAGAATCGAAGCACTGAGTATCACAGATAGCATTTTTCAATCAATAAATTTTTGGAATCATGAAATTCGTGAGCTAAAAGATAAAGAATTACTTTATCTTTTAGCAAAGGAAATAAAAGGTACAATTAATGAACGGTCTTCCAATTAATCAGATGTTGCCTTTTATATAGAATTTGAAGCAGGAGGATTCTAGAAGAACGACAATGGAAGTACAAAGAAGAACTACAAAAATTGTATTTGTATGGAATATCGATAAGATTAGCTCGATCTTTCGTCCGGTTACGAATGATATTGTTGTGTGCGCATTAAGTAGACTGATATTGTAATTTTTAATTTGTAAAAGTAGTCGGAAGTATCAAAAATTTCAGGACTTGCAGTGAAGATAAGGAAAAGCGGTAAATGGACTGTGCAAAGAGCAAACCGGAGAACATCTACTGGGATGTTTAAAAGCAGCGAGTTAATCAAACAGTGAGGTCACATGGGGATTAACCATTAAAGAGTGCAAGTAATGCTATGCAAAACCAACAAATAACATTCTCGGTCATTACACTTTACATTTTTATCTCTTTCTTCTCACTGACCTTATGAACTATTATTCACAGTCACTTTGTACCTCATCTATTCATATAGGTGTTGTGATTTTGTCATCAGTATCTTTCGGATCAACTAATTTGCCCCGTTGAAAAAAATAATTATTTGCGGATTTAAACCGTACTGAAAATCAGTTTTAAGAAGTGAATATATGAAGATTATCCACAAAACTGAAGTAACATATCGGAAAAGAGAGTTTGAAATCCACTTTAAAATTAATATATTATATTAAGGCTCACTGAAGCTCAATAATGCAGAACGTTTATCTGGTAACGAATATAGTTATTCGACATATTCGACAACAAACACTTCCCCAAAACAGTTTGCAGACATTCCCAAAAACTCTGAAAGAATTCCAGAAGTAACAAGAATGGATGCAAAATGATACGCAAAAACTTAAATCAGCAAAGCTGAAAAAATTACCAATCATTAATTCAGGTTAGGGAGCTGAAAGAATTTTAATTCGGAATATTGCTGATCAAAATCTCCGAGAAGTAAACTTGCGCAAAGAAAAATTATTTCTTAAGTACTACTGAAGAAAAAAAATTTGGTACAGAGCTTCAAGGGTTCTTTCTTGAATTCTTCGATTTGGTTCCCTTGCTTTGGTCCTATTGTTAAATTATTATCTTCCGTTACAGTATTGCTAATTAACTTGTTAAATCTATATAATCCTGAATTTTCTTATGCAAATTAATGTAAATTAGGATCAATCTTCATGTTCAAAACCACTCAAGAAAGCCATTTAAGAAATAATCACGATAAAGTCTCGGGTAGCTAAATAAATTCGAGTAGCTTGAAACTCCATGGTATTACCTAAATTTCAATATGACATAAATGTAACCAAACTATAAGCGAAGTCTAATCAGAACTAATTAAAATCAAATAGATAGCAGATGAAAGAAAGACAACTGTCTTCTGATATAAGTTGACGCAAAGTAGCTTTTGAACGAACAGAATTGCGTTATGGGCTGGATGTGCTCATTTATGTCTAACTATGGATTATGCTTTCGTTTGTGTGATGTATTACATATGCATTACAAAATAATCGATAAAATCAGAATCTAATTATTTAATATCATTGTGTGGAAGTATCTCGAATTAATATCATTGTGTGGAAGTACCTCGAATTACATTTATTTTAAATGGTCTATTCAAATCGATTAATCAAATAAGTTCTTGAATAACGGACTGCAAGATAATTTTGTATGGAGACGTAATATTGCGAATCAAATTAGTTAGAATTTAATGTAGCTTTTGGAAGGAATAAGAAGAGGGAAAGTTAGCTAACTAAAAGTGAACGGTGTTTGTTGTTTAGTGGTATCATAGGATATTTTGAAAGTGTTGGGTTAGTGAGTGTATACATATTATTATATGTGCATTTGTTTATTCAAAAAATCGAACCACTTGCCGAAAGCAATTAGCAATTTAAGGAAGTCGCGAATTGCCAAAAAAAAGTTAAAAGACAGAGCAAAAGACAAATAATGGATAAGCAGAAGGGATGGGCATTTGACGATGTTTCCATCGTCAGTGAAATGCTTCTCCATTACACCTTTTCTCAAACGAAAAATAAAATTTCGGAAGGAATTTTTTGTCCACTTATAAAAATTATTGATATTTTTACACCCTACATTTCTCCAGTTTAAAGTAATCTAGACTTTAAAGACTTTCTAATTTAAAAAATTTTGTTTGGCAAGAATTTTTTGAC